CCAGTTAGGCATCAAAGGTATCATCAGTAATTCAGGGTTTCTGTTTTACTCAAACGCATCAAATTTCTTAACGAAATTGTATCACATTTTTTAAGAAATAATATGTAGTTTAATAGTATAAAGTGTAACACCAGTACCAGGAGTTAATTCCGAGTATTTTTTTGGCATCCTAGAATATCCCAGTGGCAATTGCGGAGACCATAGAAAGTATAAATACATGTACGTTCTCGTGGCTGTTTTAAAGATAACAATCATTAAAATAAGAAACAGAATCAAAACGTCTCTTTATTCATGAAAAATCTTATTAAATAATCAGGGAAATCCGACAAAAATGAATCAAAATGTGTCAAAAAAACAATGGAGTTCATTATGCTACATTAGGATAAATGCTGCTTTTATAAAGGTGAATACCTTAAAGTCATAAAGCAACAGTATTATGTGTATTTGAAAAAAGAGCATGTTTAATTAACAGGGAAATAAAAAGTATCACTTGTAAAAGGGTTGTTATTATTTTGTAAGTTAGTTTTAAGTATATTTACGCCAGGTAATTAATGCCATTGACCTTATTTTACTTTCATTTCTCTATTTGCGTGTAGGGAACTATCTATATCTCGTATATGCTGAATTGGTAATTTGTATGATTACAAGAACAACATCATTTCAGTAAAGTAAAAGCAAAGATATTACCTTGGGTAGAGTAGTATAATTTTCATTATGACTTTATCATTATTATATTTGTTTTAGTTACTAGTATCATGTAAGAGAATTTGAATAAAATTCACCACAAACGTCAGATTTTAAAAAGGCGTTCTCTTTCACATTTAATTATTTATGTACGTTTCATTGTTTAATGCAGTTCACCTAGTTACAAAGTTTAATGTATTTCACCTAGAATATATATGCACGTTACATTGTTAAATGTACTTCACCAACTAGACTGCACGTTGCAATGATTAATGAACTTCACCTAGAATATATATACGTTCCAATGTTTAATGTACAATGACTCAATGTCGACAGTGATATAAAATCAACAAGTTTAAAAGAAGCTAACTGACATCATTCTCATCAAACATTAAAACATTGAATAACATATACAAAGCTTCAACTTGGAAAAAAACATCTGATATTTGTTTAAACAGCGTCTATCCCGGTAATGTAATGGATAGACTATCACATAAATAAATACTTTAACGAAAATGTCTTTTTCTAACTTTCTTACTAGACTGGTACATGGTATAGCTAGCAATGACCACATATGTCCTATTTCCTCCATTTGTTTTATTATGACTTAATTTGTTAATGTACACATCATGATGTCACAGACCTTACCCTTAAGTGCTTAATGGACATAAAAGATGACAGGATCTTTATTAAGTGAAGGTAACATACAAAATTTACAGAAAATTTGAATACTAGTATGTCAGTTACTTATTTTCTGTACGGCTTTATAATCTGACAATCACAGCGAAAACAATAAACAATTATTAGACTGCAAAGCCGCCGAGTCTTATATGATTTTGAATAAGATGCAATATTTACTGCAGAATGACATGCTATATTTAGCGAGTCTTCAATAAAGACACAAGTACAAAAAAAAAAAACATTCACTTACACCAGCTTTACACTTCATGACCAATTTTAAATTTCTGGCTTTATTGCAAAGCATTTTTATTTACATTTTCTTCAAATGGAAAGACAATAATTTCTTATCTTCGTATACAAATAATAGACTGTGCAACTGTTTGTATCTTACCGAGATTTAATATCGTGGAACCAGGCTAAAATTAGATCATTAGTAAAGACGTTGTCTCCACCTAAAGAGGTACGGTTTCGGATATGGGCAATCGCATATTCGGTTAGGTAGCATTTTATTTGGCTCTTCCAAAGGTATACAGTGCACAGCTGGCCAATGTTATTCGCAGCCATTTCACGCGTGATTGAACCTCGCATGCTTAACAATTAAACAATTTTAAAATACGTGAAAACAAAATTTTGAACTAATTTCTGTTTTTCGTACATACAACTGTTAACATTAATGTAATAACAAAGAAAGCAAATGCATACAAATTATTGATTCAGACCTACATGTAATTGTATGCAAATCTCTAAATATTTCCAGTCCTTGCAGGTATCCAATGTTTGTAAAGGGAAGTTCTATTTGTTTTCATTTTACATGAACTTCTCAAATATAAAAGCGATGAGCTGCAATGTCAATATATAATTGAAAATTTTCTCATCACGTCTACAGTTTAGAAATATATATTGCCCGGATATATCAAGTATTAAAGACAGACATGTTAACATTTCACTATAACATACGGGAAAATGATTTGTCTTATAATTAAGATTAACGGAAATGGTATGTTTTAATATCACGAAATGTAGAATGTTACGTGCCAAACGTTAATTTACAATAAAAGATATGAAATGTGTTCATGTCTAGAAATACACGTACCTATATCAGATAAATTGATCTGTAATATTTATAAGGAAAAGCACTGACATGTTTTTGATTTTATATGTCATCTTTATAATTACAAAAGATGAGTTAGAGGAAGGATGTTGAATCCAATAATGACAGCTAACGTCATACATTTTGAGACAGTCACTCAAGTCACTTTAATATTATATTGCTCTTTAACTGAATTGTTTGAAACCCTTACTTTTAGATTAACTACTGCTAAATAAATTTATTTACCTTCACGTATCAAAAATTAAAACACTAAAATTGTGGGTGGAGCATGTAATGTGATACTTTGTTTCTGTGACACGAAATAAGGTTCGATAACTTTTTATACAATTTAATTGCACTTTTAAGATATAAACAGTATGTAGTAAACTTACACAAAGTCTGATTATCATATAACATGCATGAGTCATAAAACGGACGTAGGGGCATTTGACCTAAATACAACATTATATACATGTATATTATGCAATTATATGTATAAATGTCATGTTTATGACATTGTAAAATGAACTTCATTTTGTAAACAGTTAATTATAAATATTTTTTTTAGAAAAAACCTTCCAAACATCATATTGATTTGTGATTAGTAATCATAACCATCGTAGGTTTGATTCTAGAAAAGGAAAGATGTTCAGTCTTTATGAAACACGGTTCCAGATATGAATATACAAGGCAACAAGAAAAAATAACAGAGGACATTTGAGCCACGCCATGACAAATCCAACATAATGCGTTTGCGACCAGCATAAATCCAGACCAGCCTGCGCATCCGCACAGTCTGGTCAGGATCCATGTTGTTCGCTATCATTATCTCTACTTGTTATAGGTTTTATAAGCGAACAGCATGGATCCTGATCAGACTGCGCGGATGCGCAGGCTGGTCTGAATCCATGCTGGTCGCAAACGTATTATATTGGTTTTTTCATGGCGATGCTTATTTTATTTTTCGCCACAAATCAGAAATATCTGGAACAAAAGTGATCACTAGGAAGCATTAAAAACAGCTTAATGACATAAAATTGCAGACTCGGTTTGACTGAACTGCAGAAGTCTAGCAGGAAGAGAAAATGATATGAGAAACACAAATCATTTGTTATATTATGAAATGTGTTACCTCTATATTTTAACTGTGTATTTGTTGGCAAAATTCAAAGTTATAAATATAATAAAAATGAAATAAAGATGAAATTTTATGATGAAACCAGGTTGCAAAAGCTCGTCAACACATATCCGTTTTCCATTTAAGTAACCCGAGACATACAATTGTGTTAAGGTGTATTGCGCGTTAAATTTATAATTTCCTATTAATGTAAAGAGGTTTTACGGGGCAATTTGCATGTTAAGAGTTTCGAAATAGAAAAAAAAATATCAACGAGAATGAACATATTTGCGTGATATAAAATGATTGGAATGGCAAAATGAAAAACAAAATTGAATTGCCTCTCTTTTTTTTCATGCAAATAACTGATATTTCTGTTCATTGAATATAAAAGCTCAAGTGTAAAATATTTTATAAACGTATGTGTGTGGGAGTCGGGGGTTGGTTGGGTCAGGGAATAATATATGCATCCGTTCAAATATAAAACGTAACAGTAAATTTGTAATTATACACCTAATTGGAAACTATAGAATATCACAAATGCAATGTTTATAAAAAAAACTGTTAGAAGGACAAAAGCCTGCCGCCAAAAACTTACCAGCAAATCCGTAGTAAATGTTAAATAACTTGTAGAAGTGCAAGTTCCTAATACAGTTTCGGCTACGTTTAACACACGTAATTCTTTACAGTCTAAAGATTTCGCCGCACTGATTAATTATTATGCTGACCTAACAATAAATGAGTCCGAGTATTGGAAGGACAACAACAAAAAAAGACAAAAAAAAAAATTAACAAAACGATAATCATACCTGATCTTGCTTGATTTACTTAAAGACCATGTAACTCAATTTTTGTTTTATATCATAGATATAATGCCCAAATGAAGATTTATCAACATTGTAAGTTCCAAAATCATTATTTGTAAAGATATTACCGAATTTACATTTAATTAATGGAGGTTATTAGAAATTTATTTTCTAAGTCTGAGTCAAACTTTTCAATAAGAAATAAATGCATATATTTGAATATTTACATATAATTACATATAATATGGACAAATATATATTTGCAGTGCACATCTTACATATTCTTCGATGTTTGAAAATTGTTTAAGAGGCATGATTATATACATTTATAAAATTTCACTTAAGTGTGGTTACAACTTTAACAACCTTAATACATACATGATCTTGAATTTTCAATTGTTATGAAAATACTAAATGTCCTCGAACAAACATCGTTCATACAGTGGATCAAATAATATAAGATATTAAGAAATTGATTAGAAATTATAACGAATACTCTACCTTCGTCACATTAAAATGTAACGACTTAAGTAATACGATTTTTTCAGGTGCATTTACAATGTTATACAAAACATTTGAATTTACTCTTATTATTGCATTTAGAGAACCTTACATAACAAAACTTAATTTATTGCAAAATAAATGTTTTTATGGTCACTTACAAGTTTGATGGTGGGTTTCATTAGGTCTTTAGTCATAGGTCGAAATATATTGGGTTCGAAAAAGCCGTACTAGTAAGTACACTAAGTTTATCGTTATGAGTAAATACAATGTGATAATTTATGCTGATTAAGTCCGCCATTTTAGAAGAAGAAATAATTCATAACAATTTTCAATAAATTGCTTTAATGCACGGTAATTATACTTTATTTGATCGCTCATTAGTCCAGGAAGGTTACAACTGATCCGGCAATAGCTGACACTGTAGGAATGTTTACCACAGTTTGGTATTTTGACCGTCTTTGTTTTCACGTTTTGTAAACAAAGGAATTTGTGTATTGGACTACGCTTTGCGATTGGATTACTGCATAATGTGTATAAAGACAACGATGGTTGATTAACTCTTCAATTCTATGGTGAAAAATGTGTATACTAATATTAGGAACATCTCACATACACTGGTTGGAACGATTTCTTCGACAAAAGGGCAACAATAACAATGTTTTTAACGTTGGTGGCGATGCTAGCCCAGAAGTACATTTCCGAAGTATAAGTGGAGGAAAAATTTGTAATAAACACCACGTTAACTGTTGGGAACTGAGTATATCAGAACTGCGTCCAAAATATTTAATAATTCAATTAGGTGGAAACGATATTGATTCGTCTAAAATGGACAGTGCATCATTAGAACTTCTGGTTTTGCGAATAGTGAACATTTTCGCAACATTTCAAGTTCGATACAACATTGCGGAGGTTGTGGTGTTGCAGTTCATTCCAAGACCTAGGCCACGTTATATATCGGGAGATACCTATGGTGAATTGGTGCACAAAGCCAATATCATGCTCAAAGGGGAGCTATCAAAATTTCCTCGAATACTTTATTGGAAGATCAAGGGAATAAAAAATCCAACAACAAACATCTTTAGAGACGGTGTTCATTTGAATTTTGCTGGCATGATAAGATATTACAAAAACATTCGTGGAGCTGTTTTGAAGCTATTAAAATCATAATTTCCTGATCAAGTACGTGATAAGTACATACCAACAAGTGAAATGTGGAAAACTGTGGATCTCAAGTGAAGACGACAAATATATACTTTACATTTTAGTCCCAAAGTGAACTTAAGACGTATACTAATTTTGGTTGAATGTGATAGTTATAGTATCAAATTATTTGAAGGACTATGTTTGCACATTTACTTGACAATTTCTAGCGAAATGTTTGTTTTTTATTACACACATAATGTTTGTGCATATAATGCTTTTATTGATGGCTTTGATGTAGTTAGTTTTTAATGATGCCTTAATTTTAAGGTGGTTTATTCGACTTTAGTGGTAAAGTTCGTAAGATTTAACAGTTTGTTAAAGTCCTTAATTGTAAGGATATTTTAGTTTAAACACGCCTTAATTTTAAGGTAGTTGTTTAATGCTAAATAGTTTTTAGTTACATACACCTTAATTGTAAGGTGACAATTTTCAAAAGAGTTGAAAATATTTTCTAAGTTAATGTTCCTTAATTTTAAGGAATATGAGCTATAGCTTTACACCTTAATTGTAAGGTGACACCTTAATTGTAAGGTGACAATTTTCAAAGGAGTTGAAATCATTTTCTAAGTTAATGTTCCTTAATTTTAAGGAATATGAGCTATAGCTTTACACCTTAATTGTAAGGTGACACCTTAATTGTAAGGTGACAATTTTCAAAAGAGTTGAAATTATTTTCTAAGTTAATGTTCCTTAATTTTAAGGAATATGAGCTATAGCTTTACACCTTAATTGTAAGGTGACACCTTAATTGTAAGGTGACAATTTTCAAAGGAGTTGAAATCATTTTCTAAGTTAATGTTCCTTAATTTTAAGGAATATAAGCTATAGCTTTACACCTTAATTGTAAGGTGACACCTTAATTGTAAGGTGACAATTTTCAAAAGAGTTGAAATTGTTTTCTAAGTTAATGTTCCTTAATTTTAAGGAATATGAGCTATAGCTTTACACCTTAATTGTAAGGTGACACCTTAATTGTAAGGTGACAATTTTCAAAAGAGTTGAAATTAATTTCTAAGTTAATGTTCCTTATTTTTAAGGAATATGAGCTATAGCTTTACACCTTAATTGTAAGGTGACACCTTAATTGTAAGGTGACGATTTTCAAAAGAGTTGAAATTGTTTTCTAAGTTAATGTTCCTTAATTTAAAGGAATATGAGCTATAGCTTTACACCTTAATTGTAAGGTTGTCAGAATAATCACAGTTTTACTGTACATAGTTTTTTTTTTTTTTTTTTTTTTTTTTTTTTTTTTTACAACGAGTCAGCGATATACCGAAGTGTATCATATAGAGGATATTTGTTTGTTTGTGTGTAAGATGAAATTTTATTTCATCGAGTGGGCTTTAAAAACAGTATTCTCACGAGTGGCGTAGCCACGAGTGAGAATACTGTTTTTAAAGTTCACGAGATGAAATAAAATTACATCTTACACAACAAACAGACAAATTTTCTTTTTATTTTATGCTTTAAAACAAGTTAAAACGGAATTTCCATAATTTTAACGTTGATATTAAAATCTGTTTCCCCCGTTGAGAGCCCCATTTAGAGGGAATTTCTCATTAAAAACAAGAAGTCTTGAGCTGCAAAATAAGTCCGCCAATGAAGGTTAAATGAATGTGATATTTATTCATCTTATCAAAAAATATGAATGATCGCTTGTTTTAATAATAAAAACAAACAATTCTTGTAGGAGAAAAAGTCCAACCATCCATCCATATATCTGTTACTTACTGCGAATTTATATTAGACCTGGCTTTGTAAAATGTAAACGGCAGCCATTTTTTAAAGTCGTGTATTTCATGGGAGGAAAATAATTGTGTAAGATACAGAAGGATATAATTTGGATTTGTTAGTCATACACCTTTTTAAAAGAAAGAAAACTTATTTGAGGATTGTAACAGACAAAAAATAAGTGTTGACAGAAGTGAAAACATTCAGAAAAGGAGCTAGGAAAATGGAAAACTTGGAAGCTTGCTAAGGCATTGTAAGGAACGCTGGGTTGATTTACTTATTTTACGAGTGATAGCTGTCAATGCTTTTCAATTTTTCATAAAGCATACGGCAGTTATTGCTCGTAGGATACTTTAATATGCCCAAATGTCATCAAGAGCAGTTTTGCATGGGGAAGGAATGTATTTTTCAGACTGTAAAAACGAAACAAAAAAATTTAGAGACGAAATTTTGTGATTGGAATTTGAAGGAATAGAAGTAAGTTTTCTCTCTTTTAATACTTTTGACATTTATGTTATTTATCTATTTCAGCTTTGCTATTTTTTTAACAGCCTGATATTGTCAGAATTGTCAGTAAAAATAAAATTGAGGTACCACATGGGGAAAATCTTAAAAAAGTAGTTTCGTCATTGAAAAAAGTGAAATTATATTTTGATAATTTTCACTGTGAAATTATCAAATATAATTTTCACGGATAAATCAGTAATCCACTGAAAAGCATAAAATAAATTTCAATGTACAGTTTCATTTATAAACCTGTTGCTGGGAGTGTAAAATTTATCTACATGTTTAAATGTCAGATCGTTTATGCTAGCAAATATGCGCGTTTAGAGAGAGATTTTACATCTGTTAGGATAGACGTATGTATAGCGGGTTATTTTTTTTTTTTTTTATTGAGAAGATAATTTTTGTTGTTTAGCTACAGCTTTAATTTTGTGTTAAGGTAAATTAAAACTTCATGTCTTAGTTTAAGATGCCATCATGGTTATATTTTAATTCTATCGATTTAAGATCTATTTGGATATTACACATATGTTACAGCTTTACTTTCAAAAGGTAATTTTAATAAGGACAACATTTATTTCAGTCACAAGTTTACTTTATGTCATGGAGACAAGGGCCTCTGACATACAAAGTGCTTTCTAACATATAAAGTCAATTAAATCCAATGTGCCAATAAAATGTTGTCTTATAATAGGTTGTTTAGTTTCCTTATCATCTTGTGATGTATATATTTTTAATATTCTTCTTTGTTTTCTTTTTAAGTTTATTTTTCATTAGCATTGTTTCAGACATTTAAAGAATAATTTTGTTTTCTTCCTTTTACTTGACTAGTCAATTTCATTCAAGAAGTTTTGGTTGGGGGAATTGTGTTTTACACAATTTGTGGCAATATTCTTAGAACCCAACCTTTGATAATTTTTGGGATACGTGTGTATATATTTTTATATACATTTTTCAGAAATGTTTGCTGCTTTGTATACAATTTTATGTTATATTATAACTTTCATATTGTTATATATGTTTTTACGTCATTTATTATTAAATGGCCATTTCACAATTTTATGTTAGTTTGATAACTTTCATATCAACATTGTTTATATGTTTTTTCCGTCATTTACTATTAAATGGCCATTTCAATTTCAAAGTGTAGTTGTTATTCTTGAAAATTATCAAACAGAGAAAACTGAAAATTATCAAACAGAGAAAACTTCTTAAGGCAAAGATACAACAAATTGAAATGTTGACATAAAACTTAATTTATTGCAAAATAAATGTTTTTATGGTCACTTACAAGTTTGATGGTGGGTTTCATTAGGTCTTTAGTCATAGGTCGAAATATCTTGGGTTCGAAAAAGCCGTACTAGTAAGTACACTAAGTTTATCGTTATGAGTAAATACAATGTGATAATTTATGCTGTTTAAGTCCGCCATTTTAGAAGAAGAAATAATTCATAACAATTTTCAATAACCCACCATCCCACCCACATTCAGTATTCAATTTTTAACAAAATGATAAACATTCAATAACGTTTGGTGTATGTATATAATTTTATATACAAATGTTTTTTGGCAATATTCTTAGAACCCAACCTTTGATAACTTTTGGGATACGTGTGTATATATTTTTATATACATTTTTCAGAAATGTTTGCTGCTTTGTATACAATTTTTTGTTATATTATAACTTTCATATTGTTATATATGTTTTTACGTCATTTATTATTAAATGGCCATTTCACAATTTTATGTTAGTTTGATAACTTTCATATCAACATTGTTTATATGTTTTTTCCGTCATTTATTATTAAATGGCCATTTCAATTTCAAAGTGTAGTTGTTATTCTTGAAAATTATCAAACAGAGAAAACTGAAAATTATCAAACAGAGAAAACTTCTTAAGGCAAAGATACAACAAATTGAAATGTTGACATAAATATCGTTTATTTTGTATTCAAATCCATTTTATCAATAGATTTCATTTAAAAATATATTGTATACTACATTAAAATAGATATTTGAAAATTAAATGCATAATAACTGTACTTTTTTGATATAACTATTCTAAAGCTCTGATCAGACTAGTCAAGAAGAAGAAAATGAACTACATGTAAAATAAAAACTAAATAAAAAGAAAAAAAAACAAACAAACAATTGAATGTATTTAGCTTTATACAGAATTTGTTATGCCCCTACAATGTTGGGAGCATATAGCGTTGCACTTGTCCGTCCGTCCGAACGTCTGTCTGTCCGAGCAAACATTTTGGGTTTAGTGGCTATATAATAGTAAAGAGAAAAAAGAGAACAATAGGTTCATTCCGTGATCAAAGTGTTTAGGGGCTAGTAGCCCTTAAGAAAACAAAGAAAATAACAAAGAAAATAGCCCCTAAACCCAAAATGTTGGAACGTCCGTACGTCCCGAAATCTTGTGAACGCAACTCCTCTTAACTCAAAATGAATTGATTCAATTGGTTTAATTGTACATAATTGATATATGATTAATATTTCGTTTGGATATGCGTGAAATGAAAAACAGGTTATATTAACATACGATTACAAAACATGAACAATATGTGAGCAGGAAAATGTCTTATACAAAAATGAACAGAATCATAATTATTGAATGTAGCAAAAAAGCAAACCTGAATACATAAAAATTGGGAATACACAATGAGTAAATATTAATAATATGACCGGCGTAGGAAAAGGTTAATGGTCTGCCTATGTTTACACATGATATAAAAATGCAAACAATATGCACAAACCTCATATTATAAAGCTTTAACGCCATTTAGCAATAAACAAGCTTAACTGATACACAAAATGGTCATCATAGAAAAAATAAAAATATCTTTGACTTATTGTCCATATGATACACGACATGTAAATCTATATTTCGTACAGTCTAAAGTCTTTTCTCAACAATGACTTTGTTTGGGTTGTATCTTTTTACAAAGTGTCCAATTTGTTCCATATCCGGGCACCTTCCAGACACCATTTTCCATTTGAAGCGTTGCATCAAACATGCAAAGATCAAATGTAGTTGTGGTTTTGCTACAAATTCCCCAAGGCAAACTCTCTTTCCAGCCGAAAATGGCAACCAATTCTTAGGTTTAGGCCCTAGTTTGCCGTTTTCGTCCAAGTACCTTTCTGGCATAAATCGCTCGACCTCTTCCCATGCATCTGGGTCGTTGTGTAAGGCCCAGTGGTTGATGTTTACTGCTGTTCCTTTAGGAATTTTGTAACCGCCTGCAAAACACAACATACAGTTTCAAACAAGAGAAAATTATTTAATAAACAGTAGTGTTTGATGAAAAGGTTAAAATTCTCAGCCAAACTAAGAAACAAATAATATATGATGCCACATAAGTTGGGCCTCGGTTTGCGTTTCTTTGTTGTACAGACTGCCATGCCCTGAGATTGTTTATAAAACGCTATGAACGGCAGCAAAAAGGACATTTAAAAATAAATGCAATAATTTTTGTTCTATTAACCAAAACAGGAAAAAAAAATGAAAAACGCTTACCCACTTCAGTGTCACAGATAGTCATGTGTTGTATTCCTAAGGGAACAACTGTTGACAGACGCATACTTTCATGTAGCACAGCTTCTGTGTAACTAAGATTTGGACGGTCATCAATTCCTGGTAATCTGTCCTTGCCTTTATTTCACCGAAGGAAATAAAAAGTATATCATGTCTAAATGATGCTCCACTAAGCAGAGCAAAGTAGAGTTACTATGACCCTAACTTGCATCAAAGGCATGGCTACTATATAAAAGTGTTTCCATAATATAGAAACATTAACAAATACACTCATCCATGAATGACAAAGCTTTGCCCAAAAGAAGACAATATTTTCACAATTGTCATGTGTGACATACAAATGTGACCTTTACATTTTAACGTGATGTTTAGCCTATATGCGCAACAAATCTTTATCATCACGTCTTACACATTTATGCCAAATTATTTATAAAAGTTCGTATCATGACTTTTATCTACAATTTACAAGTGTGAACTTGATCTTTGAGGTAGAAACCAAATTCTTGCGCTCTGCACGTCGTTCTTATCTTTGCATAATGATTCTTAAATCCATTCTCCATTTATGACGGAATTGTTGATCACTTGGCAATGCTTGTTTCTAACGGAAATCAGTACATATTTATAAAACTTTCCTTTGACGTATGACCTTGACCTTTTAACTTCAGGCCTAGATGTTGCATTTGACAAAGTGTCCAAATGTGCTCAAATCCATCCAGAAATGACAAGGTAGGGGACTGACCGACGGCCGAAAGGGCATTCGTTACAAACATTATTGTGGGGACATACAAATACATTAATACATGTAAATAGTTAAGTATATTAATAAATAAATTATTACAAAGAAATATTACATTTTAAGGGAAATGTGATTTTGTGTTAAAATCTATAAAGAGAATGTACGGGATAAAGATTCATATTGTTTTATCATAATATTATCATCTTACCAACGACCCTGTCTATCTCCTCTTGAACCTTTTCTTGTATATCAGGAAAAGCCACCATGTGAAGTATCAAGCCTTGTAGTGTGAACCTTGATGTATCTATACCACCTTAAATTCAAACGTATCTATTTTAGTCCGACTTTTTAGTTTCAATTTTTTTAATTTTATATTTGACTTTGGACCTTTAAAATGCTAGACTAATGGGCGTTGGATTTATTGTTCATGTAATTACTCCTTCCATTATAGTGACCGGCATTAGAACATTTGACAGCGTTATTCAGAAAATCATTTTTTTGTTGAAAAGAACAAAGAAAATGGCTGCTGGTCATTTGGATTTAAATGGAAAATCGATGAAGTCGAAAGTGCAAAAAACAACAACAAGAAAATAGCTTTAAATGTAAGTTGTTTACCAAGAAAAATGTCAACTAAAGTCATAACTAGACGCTGGTCAGTAAAATAATTAGTATCGGCACCATCCTCCGCGAGGGCCTCTTTACGTGCGAGTATCAGTGTGTCGGTGAAATGACGTATGTTATCTGGAAATGAACACAATATAATTATGCAAAAAACTGGCTTATTCCAACAGGAAAATCTATAGGTCATAACTGTGACTTTTGCATGATGTCTCATTTTAAGACGGTAGTTTTTTGCTTTGGTATAATCAATGAGAGAATAATGATGTCGCAGTATAATAGCTGCAGGGGTTCCTCCGTGAGAGTGGTTGCGGCTGTGGGGTTTGTATCGCTTGCCTTTTACTATTGTAACTTTGAATCCAGACTGGATTCTTGAATGTGATAAATTATGAAGCAAGCATACAGAAGGCTGTTGTTAAACTCGAAAAGGTCGAGGTATCTGAAAGTTGCCGACCTCGTTAAGATTGTACGTCGCCATAAAACCTTGTATATAGTCGGTTTGTCTTAAAGCCGCATGCCTGCAGAAAAGCAAAATAAAATTGTAAAACAATCAACATATATAAATATGTACTAAGATTATCTTTAAAGTGAAAGTATGCATAATTCAATAAATAATTAACATGTTGTATACAACTAATGATTGATTTTGCAGTATTCAGCACACTATTTTTACTGCTTGACTAACGCAATGAGGACGAATTTCTTTTCATATTACGATCTATATTTTTGTAGTGTTCGTAGATTTTAACCATCACTTGCAATGGTTTAATTACAATACATTCATTGATCACTTGACGATATATACTTTGTAAAACATTTAAAAAAATTGCATGAAAACTAGCATGAATCTAGAAGCGCAATGCTTTAAAGTCCAAATCGAATATATATACGGTTGGTACTCTGCATATGTATCATTATGATACCTTCATCAAATGTTTCCTCCGCCTCCTTTAGTTTGTTTGAAATATAAACATCAAAAACATCGTGAGCGAATTCTTTTAGGGCTTTTGTGACATCTGATTTGTAAATATATTTTAGTCCTGGAATAAAATCTTCCACTGCTCCACTTCCAAGCTTATCAAAGAGAAGATCTTTCTTCTTTAGTATAAAATCCACCTCTTTATCCTCAAATGTGTACCTTTTGTCAAATGATATGTACATGCCATGCATGAAATATAGTATATAAAACGGAATCATTGAAAACAATTAACATTGTATAATTGTAATTGTGAAAAGCTATTTATCACATACCCGTGCCGATTTTGCGACTCCGTAAATATGGTATTGCACGGCCGTGCATATATTTTGACGTGACGTCATTAGCGTTATACAAACATAGTGTAAAGACGCGCTAAATGTCAGCGTTATACTATAGGCGCGTCAATGAAAAATGACTCTTATTTCACTTTAAACGGACTTTATTTTGGTTATGTGATAAATAGAATATTAAATTCGTGTAAGTTCATAACTGAATTTATTGCACTCGTTGAATAAAATAATATTATGCTCGCCAGAGGCTCGCATAATATAATTTTATTCAACTCGTGCAATAAATTCAGTATTGAACTTACACTCATTTAATATCCTCTATTTTTGATTGTGATTGTTGATAGACTTCGGTGGTAAATAAAAGCAAATATATGAAAAGAAATTAGTTCAATTATATACAAAACCTTAAAGTAGAATGGTATATAATATATATTCTACACGTTGATTGTATCTTTTTCTCTTTCATCTCTTTCCATTAAATTTTGATTTGTTGTCAAACTATAATCGATAAACTTTGACGCTTTAAAGACTTTAGAGGGCGCACATGTCAACGAACTAAAACCCCGCAAGGACATGTATAATGGTAAAAATGCCCTCGATTATAGATACTTTTCTTTTGCAATGGTATCGTAACTTTTACCTTTCGTTCCTGGACTCACAACCAATGGTTAATGATAAAACTTCAACGTAGATAACGCGCCAAAAATGTAATCCTATAACAGTATCTGTATTACAAGCATATCATTATTTCCTTATAACCCAACACAAAGTTTACAGGGACAAACAAAAAAAGAGCCGTTTTCGTTGTAAATGTATCTTTTAACAAAAAAATAAAGATGTCAAACAATAAAGTAGAGTACCTACTTTCCCCCGAAACATAATCCAGTGAGAATATTGCCCACTATAAAGTGGATATATTCTGCAGGGTCGAATTCGCCTTGTATTTTGTCTACCTCAACAAAAGCTGTCTTCATAGCTTCATGAACGCGCGTTTGTAAAGCGTAACCTTTCATGTAATGACTGTAAAGAGAGATAGAACACTTATCGAAGAACACTCAATATCGTATGTCGTAGCACATACGTCATTGGAATCCTTACTAGACCAATTCTATTTCAAAGATATGTGTGAGTATTTTTGGAAATGTTTAAAATAAATATTGGCTTTGACTATATGCATGTAGTGTATTTGGCTCTTAACATAAAAATGAATTACAAATAGAACTTCAAACACATGACTATAAATTGTATTGGCTATGACTATATGCATGTAGTGTATTTGGCTCTGCAAGGCAACAACTGGTTTTAGAACCCCACTTATCATTAAAATGAATTACAAATAGAACTTCAAAAACTTGACTATAAATTTTACCGTAAAGCCTTGGTTGCAATTGTCCTATGAACTTTCCATGTTGAGCTGTAACTACTAAGAGCAATGTCCTTCCCTCCACGTGTTAAACTATCAACTTGAAAATATGAAAACACAATAAATGACGAAAATTAACGTTACACTATTAAAAGCATGCAACAATATCAATCTTGTATTTTTGGTTGTTCTTAAGGGATTCGATGTTTCTCATTTTGTTATCATATACATATACAATAATAAATAGTTTGGATACACATAAAAGATAAATTTGTTTATCTAATAAGTAAAATAAGTAACAGTTGTATGACAACATACATAGCTGGGTTTCTTTTTTTTATTTTGTCAATAAAAATTGACACTGACAAAATTGACATGTTCTGCAACCTTGTAGTGATTATATATTTTTGTAATACGGGAAAACGCCATTTTTTAGGAAAAACAAAACACATGAATGTGATTTAGTTATTAGGGTATAGTTTTTTTTTCAGTCACTTGTTGCAAACAAACGTTACAAAGTGACCAATGTCCGGTAAAAAATACCAATTACAAGATATAAATATGTATTTACCAGTCAAATGTTGACTCAAGTCGGTAAAAGGGGGAAACATTATCGGACATACCGTGCGGCCAGAGGGATAATCGATATTGTTTATCTCCATGCTAAATAATCAAATTTACAGGGTACCATGCCATACAGATATATTTTTATTCCAAGGTGTAAAACGAAATAGTGTTGTTGCTTATACAATAAATATTCAGTTGTCACTTTGTTGTTATACTACACTTGTAAATTTTTTTATTTCTACTTAAATCGGCGGTAAAGGACGCGCACTAAGAAACATTTAACTTATAAGTCATTGCTGCCTATGAATAGTCTCATGCATTATTGTAGATTTAGGGATTCTGTGTTCTCCATATTATTTTAACGTGTTCTTTTACGTATAGTTTCCGATTTTTATCATTTTATGGTGCTACATTACGTATAATACACGAAAAGTTTGAGACAATATTGATTTCAAATAGAGTCGATAAGTTGCAATTGACCATTAATTTGAAGGTGTTTTTAATAACAGAATAACTTTATATATACATGTATATATATATATATATATATATATATATATATATATATATATATATATATATATATATATATATATATATATATATATATATATATATATATATATATATATCCAAAATGTAAAGTTTAAAACAATGCGGATAAAAATAGCGGGAAAAAAAGAATGAAGTGATGCCTTTTCCAGTTTACATTGCAATTGTTTATTAACAAAACTGTAATAAATAATTGAAGAGAAATATCAACCGGTTTCACCCGTTAAAGGGATCTTCAAGATAATGACGTTAATAACGTCGCTTGGTAACGACGTCAAAACAGTGTAAAGGGACGTTACTCTTATAACGTTTTAAAGGGACATAATAATAAGCTATAATATTATTGTTATATATATATATCAAAGTTTTTTTGAATTCAATTCTGGTTTAAGAACGTTTATTAAAACAGTTTCTTTCATTCTTCTTTTGAATGTGTCTGGTTCTCGCATTTTATAGATTGGCATTATATTAAACTTTGGAGTGATGTCTTTTGCGCAAATGGCAATGTGTCGACTGACTGGTAATAATGCATTGTCTGGATTTCGTATATGTTGGTTGTGTAATGTTACTCGATTTCTTAAATTTGAAGTTTCTCCAATATAATCTTTGGAACAACCATTACATTTCAATGCATAAATCACATTTCTAATGTCACATGATCCTGAGAATTTTACTTTAAATTCGCGGCCATTCTTGAAATGGTATGTATTTCCTTCTATCATGTGTTTGCACAGGCCGCATTTTAAACTGCTGCATCTTTTTATTTTATTCTTTCTCAGTGTTGAAGAAAATCGTGCCCTGGTCAAAAGTTTTTTCAGATTAGCCGGTTGTCTTTTACTTTTAATTATATGGCTTCTGTAAATAATTCCTTTCATTATTTCATCATTTTGTAATATTGGTAGATTTTCTTGTATTACTGTGAAAAATTCGGTATTCTTTGGATTATGTGTTGACACGTATGGTATGACTTTCTCGTCCGTCTTTAGTTTTGTCTTCCGTAGTTCGGATTGTTCTATTGCTAAAGCTCTCTGGATGCCGTTTTCTATAAATTTCTGAGGATATTTTAAAGAAGCCAGGAATTTGTTTAATTCATTTAATCTGAGATGTAATACGTCTCTATTTGATATAATTGTACAAAGTCGTCTAGCTAGTGAGAATGGGATGTTTTGTTTTGTGTGTTTTGGATGACAAGAGTTGAATAAAAGATATTGTTTACTGTCAGTAGGTTTATAGTAGATATCTGTTTCTATTTGGTCACCTTTTAATTTAACTAAAACATCCAGAAACGGCAATTTCTCTATACTGTTTTCCATTGTGAATTTTAAATCTTTATGAAGGTTATTCAGTAGAATGTTAAAGCAATTCAATTCGTGCTTAGATTTAGGCCATAAAATAAACACATCGTCTAGAAAGCGTTTCCAGTAATTGATGATATAAATTTTAAATTCGGTATTATAAATTTCTGCAATTTTGGGATAAAGCAGTTCCTCCTCCACATAGCCTAATACAAGTGTTGCATACACTGGAGCAAATTTTGTGCCCATGGCAGTGCCTTTTATTTGTCTGAAAAACTTATCATTAAAAAAGAATGTATTATTCTTTAAGATGAATTCTGTGGCTGAAATGATGAAATTCTTTGTAAATCTAGTATGTATCACGTCCAGATGATTTTCAACCCAAAATTCTATTGATTTAAGGCCTAGTTCATGCGAAATGTTTGAGTATAAAGATTCAACATCAAAACTTGTTAAGATGATATCCTTTTCCACAGTGCCTGGCAATGAGTTTAAAAAATCTGTGCTGTCTTTTATGTTGCTTCTTACGAATTTGGTTAATGGTCGTAGAAGAATGTCTAAAAGGTTGCTTAATCTATGAGTTTTGGCAGCTAGGACCTGCCACGATAGGCCTTACTTTCAAATCAGTGACATTTGAAATATTAATTATTGTTGATGATTGTTGTATCGAACACTTCTCATTTATCTGTTTACTTTTATGAATTTTAGGTAAAAACCATAAAAGTTTCTTTGTTTCACTTCAAAATTTGTTAGATAATCATATTCTTTGTGTGTGAAACAGGTCTGAAATCGATCAATAAGTTTTCTGTAATTTAAATTTGTCTTTATGATTAGGATCTGTGTCCAAATAGTCATAATACTGTGTATCGTTGAGTTGATATTCTATCATTTTAATGTAATGAGAGCAGTCCCATGATAACTACTGCTCCCCCTTTATCAGCTTCTTTGATGACTATATCAGGATCATTTGCCAATTGTTCAATAGCTGTCTTCTCAGATTTTGAAAATATTTGATTTTACTGTATTGTTTCTTGTTTGATTTTTCGATAATTACTTAAATTATCTATAAACTTTTCTAAGGATGAGTTCCTGTTCTTAGGTGGTATAAAGTTACTTTTATTTCTGACAAGTGAAGTGTCATTTTCATCATCTGTTCCGTTAAAGTATTCTGCTAATCGGAGTCTCCTATTAAATTCATTTATATCATTATTTATTTCTTCAGTGCTGCTTTTAGTTGGAGTTGGGGTAAACTTAAGTCCTTTACTTAAGATATTTATTTGTGGTTCAGAGAGTAGTTTAGTTGAGATATTTATTACCTTTATATTAATTTCTGTTGTATTTTGATCACCATTTACCGAATCTCTTGTCTGCGTTGGTCTCTGTACAAAAAAGGATTTTGTCGAAAGTTATCTATTGTACTAGTTTGAGCGCGATTTGTTTGATGTAAAGGCCTTCGATCATAATATCCTTTATTTGAGCCCTCTCTATATGGGAGTGTTTGAGGCGGTGTAACATTATTTGTGTAATATCTGCTTTGATGTATGTTTTGATCAAACCGTCTATGCTGATTGTTTGTACTCCATCTATGAAACTCATCGGGGTTTCTCCAAAAGTAATTTCTGAAATCTTTTCGTTGTCCATCTTTATTATAATTGTTGAACTGATTTTTAAAGTTTCTTTGTGGTAAATTTCTTCTGTCGCCATAATTTTCTGCTTCTAATCGTGGGTATTCCTGACGTGATGTTTGTGTTTGAGGGTAATTTACTGCCTCAGCGTATGTTAGTCTTCTATTTGTAAAAGTTTGTTCTTTCCCTATACGGTGTGTTGTTTTCCGTCATATTTGTTCTTTCACTGAATCTGGAATTGGTTTCTGGCGTAAAGGTATTTTCAGTATATTGTGTGTTGGTTTTGATAAAATGGATTTTTGTTATCATACTCCTTTATAAAGCTTTCAGCATACTTTTTTAGCCAAACTGCATTTTTTACTCTGCCATCGTTTGTTTGAAATTTCTTCCTCGTGATAACATTCGTCTCTCCATAATTTCTTAAGTAATATCTCCCTTTGTCCATCTGTCTTTTGGCCGAACAATGTGTCCATTTCGTCATCAATTTGTTTAACTCGTGCTGCATGAGATTGTGATCTCAATTCCAATAACTCAATTTCCGTACGGTAATTATCAAGTACTTGGCGTTCTCTTTTTCTGCGTTGGTCATCCGGTTCTCCTTGAATTTCTTTCATTTGTAATTTCTGTGGTAAAATAATTGGTGTGCTTTCTTCCATTCTTCATATGTTTTGCGCTGATTTTCATTTCTTAGGTGTTGCCAATATTCTTGTCTTCTTTTCGATAAGTTCACGTTCCATATATTGCTTAAGGATGATTTTATTTTACATGCCTCTTGTTGAAGTGTTATTTGATTTGATTCTAGTAAAATTGGCTGTTGTTGGCGTGTTACATCTACTAAGTCATTAATGGCGTTTAGTGTCATTGTCAAATTGTTAGGATCAATATTTGATACTTGTGTAACTGGTGCTTCTGTGCGAACATTTTCTGTCATATATTTCAAAACTTTTGTTAATGTTTGCGATATCTTACCTAATGTTCTTGATATGTCTTCTATGCTTTTTGTTACATGCTGTTGGAATGGGTTGTAGTTTTCTTCATCTGTTTCAGTAATTGTGACAGTGCTTTTTGTTACATGCTGTTGGAATGGGTTGTAGTTTTCTTCATCTGTTTCAGTAATTGTGACTGTCACAATTACTGAAACAGATGAAGAAAACTACAACCCATTCCAACAGCATGTAACAAAAAGCATAGAAGACATATCAAGAACATTAGGTAAGATATCGCAAACATTAACAAAAGTTTTGAAATATATGACAGAAATGTTCGCACAGAGCACAGTTACACAAGTATCAAATATTGATCCTAACAATTTGACAATGACACTAAACGCCATTAATGACTTAGTAGATGTAACACGCCAACAACAGCCAATTTTACTAGAATCAAATCAAATAACACTTCAACAAGAGGCATGTAAAATAAAATCATCCTTAAGCAATATATGGAACGTGAACTTATCGAAAAGAAGACAAGAATATTGGCAACACCTAAGAAATGAAAATCAGCGCAAAACATATGAAGAATGGAAGAAAAGCACACCAATTATTTACCACAGAAATTACAAATGAAAGAAATTCAAGGAGAACGGATGACCAACGCAGAAAAAGAGAACGCAAGTACTTGATAATTACCGTACGGAAATTGAGTTATTGGAATTGAGATCACAATCTCATGCAGCACGAGTTAAACAAATTGATGACGAAATGGACACATTGTTCGGGCCAAAAGACAGATGGACAAAGGGAGAATATTACTTAAGAAATTATGGAGAGACGAATGTTATCACGAGGAAGAAATTTCAACAAATGATGGCAGAGTAAAAATGCAGTTTGGCTAAAAAGTATGCTGAAAGTTTATAAAGGAGTATGATAACAAAAATCCATTTATCAAAACCAACACACAATATACTGAAAATACCTTTACGCCAGAAACCAATTCCAGATTCAGTGAAAGAACAAATATGACGGAAAACAACACACCGTATAGGGAAAGAACAAACTTTTACAATAGAAGACTAACATACGCTGAGGCAGTAAATTACCCTCAAACACAAACATCACGTCAGGAATTCCCACGATTAGAAGCAGAAAATTATGGCGACAGAAGAAATTTACCACAAAGAAACTTTAAAAATCAGTTCAACAATTATAATAAAGATGGACAACGAAAAGATTTCAGAAATTACTTTTGGAGAAACCCCGATGAGTTTCATAAATGGAGTACAAACAATCAGCATAGACGGTTTGATCAAAACATACATCAAAGCAGATATTACACAAATAATGTTACACCGCTCAAACACTCCATATAGAGAGGGCTCAAATAAAGGATATTATGATCGAAGCCTTTACATCAAACAAATCGCGCTCAACTAGTACAATAGATAACTTTCGACAAAATCCTTTTTTGTACAGAGACCAACGCAGACAAGAGATTCGGTAAAATGGTGATCAAAATACAACAGAAATTAATATAAAGGTAATAAATATCTCAACTAAACTACTCTCTGAACCACAAATAAATATCTTAAGTAAAGGACTTAAGTTTACCCCAACTCCAACTAAAAGCAGCACTGAAGAAATAAATAATGATATAAATGAATTGAATAGGAGACTCCGATTAGCAGAATACTTTAACGGAACAGATGATGAAAATGACACTTCACTTGTCAGAAATAAAAGTAACTTTATACCACCTAAGAACAGGAACTCATCCTTAGAAAAGTTTTATAGATAATTTAAGTAATTATCCGAAAAATCAAACAAGAAACAATACAGTAAAATCAAATATTTCAAAATCTGAGAAGACAGCTATTGAACAATTGGCAAATGATCCTGATATAGTCATCAAAGAAGCTGATAAAGGGGGAGCAGTAGTTATCATGGACTGCTCTCATTACATTAAAATGATAGAATATCAACTCAACGATACACAGTATTATGAATATTTGGACACAGATCCTAATCATAAAGACAAATTAAATTACAGAAAACTTATTGATCGATTTCAGACCTGTTTCACACACAAAGAATATGATTATCTAACAAATTTTGAAGTGAAACAAAGAAACTTTTATGGTTTACCTAAAATTCATAAAAGTAAACAGATAAATGAGAAGTGTTCGATACAACAATCATCAACAATAATTAATATTTCAAATGTCACTGATTTGAAAGTAAGGCCTATCGTGGCAGGTCCTAGCTGCCAAACTCATAGATTAAGCAACCTTTTAGACATTCTTCTACGACCATTAACCAAATTCGTAAGAAGCAACATAAAAGAAAGACAGCACAGATTTTTTAAACTCATTGCCAGGCACTGTGGAAAAGGATATCATCTTAACAAGTTTTGATGTTGAATCTTTATACTCAAACATTTCGCATGAACTAGGCCTTAAATCAATAGAATTTTGGGTTGAAAATCATCTGGACGTGATACATACTAGATTTACAAAGAATTTCATCATTTCAGCCACAGAATTCATCTTAAAGAATAATACATTCTTTTTTAATGATAAGTTTTTCAGACAAATAAAAGGCACTGCCATGGGCACAAAATTTGCTCCAGTGTATGCAACACTTGTATTAGGCTATGTGGAGGAGGAACTGCTTTATCCCAAATTGCAGAAATTTATAATACCGAATTTAAAATTTATATCATCAATTACTGGAAACGCTTTCTAGACGATGTGTTTATTTATGGCCTAAATCTAAGCACGAGGCGAAATTGAATTGCTTTAACATTCTACTGAATAACCTTCATAAAGATTTAAAATTCACAATGGAAAACAGTATAGAGAAATTGCCGTTTCTGGATGTTTTAGTTAAATTAAAAGGTGACCAATAGAAAACAGATATCTACTATAAACCTAACTGACAGTAAACAATATCTTTTATTCAACTCTTGTCATCCAAAACACACAAAACAAAACATCCCATTCTCACTAGCTAGACGACTTTGTACAATTATATCAAATAGAGACGTATTACATCTCAGATTAAATGAATTAAACAAATTCCTGGCTTCTTTAAAATATCCTCAGAAAATTTATAGAAAACGGCATCCAGAGAGCTTTAGCATAGAACAATCCGAACTACGGAAGACAAAACTAAAGACGGACGAGAAAGTCATACCATACGTTCAAACACATAATCCAAGGAATACCGAATTTTTCACAGTAATACAAGAAAATCTACCAATATTACAAAATGATGAAATAATGAAAGGAATTATTGACAGAAGCCAATAATTAAAAAGTAAAAAGACAACCGGCTAATCTGAAAAAAACCTTTGACCAGGGCACGATTTTCTTCAACACTGAGAAAGAATAAAATAAAAGATGCAGCAGTTTAAATGCGGCCTGTGCAAACACATGATAGAAGGAAATACATACCATTTCAAGAATGGCCGCGAATTTAAAGTAAAATTCTCAGGATCATGCGGACATTAGAAATGTAATTTATGCATTGAAATGTAATGGTTGCTTCCAAAGATTATATTGGAGAAACTTCAAATTTAAGAAATCGAGTAACATTACACAACCAACATATACGAAATCCAGACAATGCATTATTACCATCAGTCGCACACATTGCCATTTGCGCAAAAAGACATCACTCCAAAGTTTAATATAATGCAATCTATAAAAATGCGAGAACCAGACACATTCAAAAGAAGAATGAAAGAAACTGTTTTAATAAACGTTCTTAAACCAGAATTGAATTCAAAATAACTTTGATATATTATATATAACAATAATATTATAGCTTATTATTATGTCCTTTAAAACGTTATAAGAGTAACGTCCTTTACACTGTTTTGACGTCGTTACAAGCGACGTTATTAGTCATTATCTTGAAGATCCTTTAACGGGTGAAACCGGTTGATATTTCTCTTCAATTATATATATATATATATATAATATATATATTAATATATATATATATATATATATATAAATATATATATATATATATATATATATATAATATAAAACGGTAAAAGTGTATTAACATTCTAAGCATGGTTTTAAAGAAAACTTGACAACCCAACTTACGTGAATAGTGTGTCAACATCACGCCCAGCAAAAATCTGTAGATTTCCTTACAAGTACCTCTAAGGCAGTTTCTATTGTATTCACAGTTATAAATTGTACAGGACCTAAAAAGTACCATTGGGTCTTATATTCAAATGAAAACTTTAATTCTTGATGATTATGATCGACGATGATGATGTAGGTATATCATTGTATCAATAATGACTATTATGGTAATTATTTGATAATAATATATAGCAACCATTATTAAGTAATATCTGATTTACTCTTACAAGTTTCCGTTTGTTTGGTGTAGGTCATAATTCGTCTAAACAGGAACGTTATTTTGGCTTACCTCGAGTGTTTCGAAAATCAAAGCAATTTAATCACATCTTACGATCACGCAGCTTAAGAAATAGCCGTAGGTTTTATGCCTCAACAGTTAAAGGCAATCTATCAGTCACAAAGGGCTTAAAATTCATTGCCCGTTTTTTTTTTTTTGGAAAATTCCCCCTTCTGTGTATGTTAGTATAATCTATGCTTTAAAATGAGGGCTCTGCGGCCAAAATGCACTTCTTTTCAAAATAAGAATAAAATTAAATCATGCCCTTTAAATGTTTAATTTTGAAGCAGAAAACGATCCCAGTACAATCACTGTATAAACCGTTGTTGATAACTTTTACGTTGCAAAAGTGGCAATAATGAAGGATCGTTTTAAGGCTGTTGCCAACAGCAAAGGGACCGCCATTCAAAGCCTTCTTTCGCACTAAGCTCACGAATTTAAGATTGAACGAACCCCTTTCCTAAGTTGTCTCTACCGTTTTTAGTCCACTCCTACCTTCAACAAACTAAGTTGTGCCAACCACCTTAAACGATCAGTGGATGTTTTTATTCATGGCATCTCAATGACATCATAGCAAGGGTAATTACATTAAAGACTATTTAACCCATATTGAAATCAGGATTGTGTTTATTTTCTGCATTGTAGATCATTTATGTCTTTGAATAATATACACGACTGAGCAGAAAATTTTTATTTAACTTTTTGCTATGCACAATATGTTTGAGCGTAAAAACTTGTTTGGATAAATTTATTAACGCCCTGCGAAAGGTTTTAAATATTGATTTACTGTTTAATCAATTCAGCTGAATGACGAATTTAACCCTATAAATGAGTTTTGCAATGATTTTGTGCTAGGGAAGAGGATGACCTACCTCTTTGAAGATTTTAGAACATGCAGCGTGTTTTCAAAATTTCTTAAATTGAAGTTTATACCCTTAGGATATGTTGCCTGCTTTTACACTTTGTCTTTCGACGCCTTATCTGTGATATGCAGGCTTCATAACCTCTGATTCCCTTTCAAAATTCCATTTTATTTAGTTCCGCCCATTGTTTTCTCGTTTAGGGCAAATGCTTTCTATTATTTGGGGAACATACGCCGCTTTTCATGGAATGGCACGGAAGTGTCACGTTGAAGGTTCTATGAATAACCGCTTGTATGAACACATCTTACCGGATGCTTTTCTAAATTCAAAAATTTTACCATTTCCAATGTTTAAATGTTGAATTCTGCTTTAAGCCGGTGCTAGGAGGCGTGGGTGGTAGTTTGCACAGTACCGTCCATGAACAGGCTCAATCAAACCGAGCCTTCATAATGTTCAATTATGTTGTGTTGGACTTTCTTTAGGGATTCTTATTTTCTCTATTTTTGCATCATTTTCAATTTTGTTGTGTTGGACTTTCTTTAGGAATTCTGTTTTTCTCTATTTTAATGGCTAAATGGCTGCCCGTTCCTGACCTTACATGGCTCCAAGCTCATGGATGGTTCTGGGGTTTCAGCCGACGAGGTTATCTAACCCCAGCTTAAATTTCCCATGTGTCCTAAAATATTGGGTTTTAAATAGGTTTACGAGCTGGCCCTTTCCCTTTCGCCCAATAGAATTACCCCCTAGTAGTCTTTTTCCCCACTGTCCTTTGGGGGCGAATTATTTTCAAATTTTGAAAGAAAATGATCACCCGATTTCTTTAGCTTCAAACCCTTTTCTGTTTTTCTAAGATTTTGTACATATGTATAAAGTATTTGCTAACTGTCAAAGTACTCTATAAGGCCAAAAAAGGGTTTTGGGTTTACCCCGCTGATGCCCCCCCCACACCAAAAACCTCATCCAACTGTAGCGGGCTGCCCCAGCAATTTTGAAGCCTAAAGGGTTTACTTCGTCTTCTTTAAATCTATTTCGGGTATTTTAAAAAGTTTTTCAGAAAACTGGAAATCACCCTTAACAAAAGTGTCAACCCCGTGTTTCAAATTTCCTAAACCCTTTAAGGTCCCTGGTCCTTTCCAAAGGGGATTTGCGATGTCGACGCGTCAAAGGGATACCTATGTAATGTATGTGATCATATAATCTGTTTTATACAAGTGATAATATAAAAATTAACTTATGGTGCTTACACAAACATACACAATTCACATTAAATTTGGAAAAAAGCATTACCTGTGCGAATGGTTACTACAGGTCCATATTTCTTTGACCATTCAAACACTTGTTTAGGAAATCCTTTCAGATCGATTTCTGAAAATAATAATAGAAACTTATGATCAATGCGGTATTTATTAGAACTACTCAAAAATTAAAACATTCAATCAAATTTTGAAAAAAAAAAAAATAAGTATTTCAAAATGAAAAAAAAAAAAAAACAACACTGTTTAAATATATTTTAAAATAAACATTTTGAAATAAATAATTTTGAACAAATTACGCAGTGCATTTCCAACCAGTGGCAGTCCAGGGGGTCCCGGTGGATAACTATATTTCCATTTTTGTAACAACCAGTACACTACAAGCCCAACAACAAGGCCGACCAGACATGTGCTTGGTATTGAACCGGAAAGAGTGATCCAAGACATTTTCCTGTGAAATAAGACAATAATTTAAACTTGAATATTAATTTCCTCAACATATTATAATTTTGCCAGCTTTGCAAATCTATCATACTTATCAAATTTAAGTCTGCTCTCCCCGTGAAACAGTGTACAAGGTGCTCGTATCTTATCCTAAAGAAAGCTGGCTCAAATACCTATATGATAGTAAAGATTATGTTTCCTTACAAGACAAGACAAGAACCTGTCATCAGGGAATCTAGAAAGTCGCCATATGACCTACAGTATGTTAATTTGAATTAAAAAATACAATTATAAATAACAAAATAACGTTGAATCGAACCGAAGGACAATCATAAAAACAACATTAGTAGACTTGTACTAGAAACTGATTCATATTAAGTACCAACTCTCCATGTTTGTGGTTGGATGAATTATTCTGAGATTTTACTATACTTATAAGAAAACACTTAAAATATGATAAACAAGATCAACAAGGAAAGGCGAGGCGGCGTTCAATGAACGCAACCCCCACATGACCCAGCAACAAGAACCAATGGCAAGGAGCCCAGGGGGACCCCAAACAAAAACAGGACAGGGCAAAGACAGAGCACGGACAGGTTAATCATTAAATGATAATTAATTTGTAACTGATTAGGAATTCAAAGAAAATAAAAATAGGCCCACAAAGGGAAAGGGGACAGGAGACCGGGGGAGGGGGTGGGGAGTAATCAAAGAAATAAAAACTAGAGGCAATGGGGAAGATACTTACCGTAGACGAGAAAACAACAAGGGACACAAGCAAAAGTGTCACCAAAACAGTATGAAACAACATAAGACATACATCTGAGGAACACAGTGGGGCGCCGCCTTGGACGGTCAGCAGCATAATAATGACTGCTGGGGAGTTTAAACCGGTTAATGGTGCACCAAACCTCGCTCTTAGCCCCACCATGTTCCTATAAACGAGACAGTGTAAATAAAATGAATCCCCGCCAAGTGAAATTCTAACAGTTGTCATGGTTACAAAAGGTTAAATAAGTAAAACACTAAAATGATCATGTAGAAACATATAAAAGTAAACCCAATGACCATAACAAAAGTACTCAATGTCCTAAAGGAAGACAGCGCAACAAGAAAATCACCTACAAGGGCCCGACGAAGCAAGGCAGAAGACGAACATTAAGACAATTCAGTCCCAAAGGGCTTTACGAACTATCCATCATAGAGTCTCCCACTTGGTCCGTCAGATGCAATCAAAAGAGGAAAGCGTAGTGTCCAACTGTAAAAGGGTTGAACACTAAACATGCAGTATGTCTTAAAATAGTAGGGTCATAACCTCTGTGCAAAGCAAAATTTGCCCAAAGAGAGCTGTAACTTTAAACAACGTTCCAGAGGTCTAAAGAAAGACGATTCATGTGCAATATCTAACTTTAAACTGATCTAAAGAGGAATTTAAAGTTTTACTTGATGCATTAAAAAAAAACAGGGATCCCTTGGACAGGACCAATGAAGAGCAGTAGGAGAGCTATGATTAAGAAGATGTCTATTAGACATTGGCTTATGATTTAAGTGAGGCCAAATTTCACCTTAGGGCTTTGAGTGAAAAAACGTTGAGAGAAGCTCAATAGACTTGGTCCATATTAAATGTCTAGTAAGACAATCCTGATCAGAAATGAAATCAATGTTTTTATTAATTAAACTTTAAAAGATGATTATCAAAGGATCATTAAGTGTTGACGTTATGGGTTTTCTTCTTTTGAGTTATGTGATCACAAAAACTCCATAAGCAACATTTTTACCCTAAAAGAACAAGTATGTACGAAATGATTTCTAATATTCATCACATAATGTCACTTGGATCCAAACGATTAAACGCCGAAATACATGATGAAGGGTGATCTAAATAAACCTTTTTTGAGAAGGTTTTCTCTGCTGATTTGGAATAAGGAGAAGATTTCGTTGCAGTTTAAAGATTATTAACTTAAGTATTTTTCAGACATTTGGTTTGTCAGTACTTACATAATAATATATCCAACAAATCTGATTTTGCACAATAATAACCACTGAACAGACTAATGGAAGTCGAATTATAAAGTATAATTTAAACCAACGTACGGGTTCACTGCCTACACGTTCACTTAAGAGTTATATAATCGTGTACAGATACAGTTATACGGAACACAACCGATGTCCACTCAACCGTGTACAGTTGATATAATCTGAATAATTTATGCATACACCATGCAATCATCCCAAGTGCATAAATGCAGGGATCATATACTGGAAGATTTAAATAATATTTTAAAAGTTATTTATCAAGATGTTACTTATATACTTCTTTATTCTTTTGCTTGCTAAACTATTCATGTTGAAGAGGTATATTTATGTTGGTGTTTGAAGGAGGTATTTTAATCGGGAATTGAATCCGTTTTTGTCGTACGGTTTAAATCATTTGAAATTCATAATATTTTGAGTTTTTTATTACTGACAATATTTCTTAATGTTAAACAACACCTTTTATCAAGGAAAAGTGTCTGTGTTTAAACCATGGAAATTTTGTTACCTTTTGTTCTACATACAATAGTTTTATATAAAAAAAACTCTCGAAATGTTATTTGATTTAAGAACAAGTGAAGTTGAAATCGTAGAGTAAAGTTGGATTCGTGAGTTCACGACGTTGTACTTCTGAAGTTGATTGTGAATTCATAAAAATAAAATCTTGAATTCGTGAAGTTGAAATCGTGAATTGTTGAATTCGTGAAGTTTCAAACGTGAATTCACGAGGCTGAAATCTTGAATTCCGTTATGTTAAAAACGTGAATTCACGAAGTCAAAATTTGTGAATAAGTACAGATGAACTCTGGAAATCTTGAAGTTGTAATGTCTCTATCGTTTTTTCGTTGATCTGACTCCAGGGTCTTGTTTTACTATTACTCGAGCACGCTGTCTTACTTCTTGTAACAGTTTTAGTTTTTGCAATATTGTTAATTTATCATAAAAAAATTTCACATCCTTTAATAACTTGTAACAAAGCATGATTGAATTACCCAATGGTAACAAAATTTTGATTATTTCCTTACAATTTTCTAATAAAAGTAAGATAAGAACGTCTATAAAAGCACATTAAAATCAATTCTGGCGTGTGGATCTAGTTTTTCATAAATGTTAAGTTAATATCACGGCTATCCCTTTAAATTTCAGATGTTATTTCTCTTTTATGTCAAAAACTCAAGTTTTTATGATATATAACAAAAGTATGAAACGTTCCTTTAATTGCAAATCTGTTTAAATATTATTTTAATTCAAAAGATGATTTATTTAATGACTTAATTTTGATAAAATACGTTATTGATGTACCATCAGAGTGACTCTTTGTTGTCTGTTGTATAAATAACTTTGGAACCATAAAAGAAAAACACCATGAATTCCAACAGATGACAATTTAGTAATAAGTCCTTTGTGTCATACCTGATCAAAAGTTTTGCTGATGTCACAAAAAAAACATTCTTGTTGTCTTGCCATTGTCTAAGGCTTCATGGAAGGAATTATTATAAATGATCGACCAATCAGGTTGGGAAAAAAATTAGTGGGCGAAAAAAAATGATTGAAGTAAACCGCCAATTCCTTATTGTCGTATAGAATATCTGAGACATTGAGCAGAGAATGAACAGATATTTTGTGATTAAAATGGAAGATAATTGTTTGTACTGTGGACCACTTATATAGCATTTTTGATTAGGAAAACTGTCTAATTTAAAAGTTGGCGGATTTTTTACCAATCCGAAGTTCGATTTTGAAGCTTGGCCAATTTGAAAAGACTTTTACAAATTAGTCGTTAAAATTTACCTTATTGTCACTTAAGTTAAGTAGGTCTGATGGTTATAAATTTTAGCTTCATTGTATTAAGACCCATTGTTGCAAATTCCCTGCCAATCATATTGTTCTATCTCAATGCATCATAATCTCCTCCTTCAGACAGCCATATCTCACGGGAGTGAGCATGACATTTTGGTTTTGTAAATTTAAAAAATGCAAATGTGGGGAAAATGATAACACATTTCTTGATCAAAGGCTGGTTCACCAACACCACTTTATACCCAACTACGTATTTTAAGAAGAATAAGATATATGATTCAAGAAGAAGTTTTAGTGAACTGAGTGGCTCATTTGGCCAGCCAAAACTGGTCATAAAGGTATAGGAGTTTACGTGGCAGGATTGCGGTTCAAGTCATGAAAGAAAGTAATGTTTTGATTCCAAGAATTACGCAAGGTCCAAAGATTGTTCGATTTTAAGGTCATAGTGGGCATTAGAGTTAGGAGGGCAATAGGAGAGTCAAATAACCTTTTGGAGGTGTGAGTCTCGAAATATTAACGTGAAGTCATTCAAGATTATTCCGAAGCTACTAAATTGTAAGATCTAAGAAGTGACGCCGGCACAGTCTTGATTCTACAAACAGAAGTCTATTCCAAAATGCGAAACTACTATTACAATTCATAAATAGTCAGAAACATAATAAACTATTTTGCAAGATGTAAAATAATAATAATTATAATTTCAATTATTCTACGGGAGACCTCTTTGCTTATGAATAATATCCATATTTCACTTTTAAATTAATAATATCATAATATTCAAGCCAACTTAAACTAAACCAAATCAGCACGGTGTCCAGTTATGGCCATCGCGGCACACACATACTCGAAAAAACAAAAACACGAGAATACGATGGTGAAAAGTCGAAATAACGAATCCACGATGGTGAAAATCTGAATTTCAATCATGGTTAAACACAACATTACATCCAATTTTCAAATCGGGGTGTGTTGCGGTGTCGACATTTTACCATTATTATAATTTCGCCTTTTCATCACCGTGGTCCGATTTTTCTTTATGATTATGGTATATATCGCAAAAGCATAGCTAATTCGTTAATCATTCATTGACTTACAATTGACTTGAAACAATGCTAACTGTATCTGTATGATATTTGTCCATTTTCACAAAAGAAATGCATTTTTATCATATTAAAAGTTTGGTATAATGTCGGATACATGTAAATTTTGTTAAACTACAAGCAGTTGCACAGTCCATTGTTTGTAAAAGAAGACTACACAGGAGTCGTATTGAATTATTGC